ATATCTAAGATTGCCTAGATTTTGTCCGGGTTGGCTTTGATGCCACGTTGGTAATAAAATCAAATGTGATGTTGATGACAAGTCATTGAAAAGTTGTTCCAGTGTTTTTCAATCCAAAGGGCATAACTTTATAGCAATATAGCCTGAGTTCAGTTATACATGCAATTTTTTCCTGGTTGGCTAAGTTCATCTGGATTTGGTTGTAATCGGAGTAAGCATTCATGAAGCTCAACAACTCGTGCCCTGAGGTTGTGTCTACCAAGTAGTCTATTTTGGAAAGTGGGAAACTGTCTTTTGGGCAGGCTCTGTTGAGGTCGTGTAGTCAATGCACATGTGCCACTTGCCGTTGGCCTTCTTCATGAGCACAGGATTGGCTACCCATCTTGGGTACTAGACCTCTCTAACAAAATTTGCTGCAAGGAGCTTCATGACTCCATCATCTACTACCCTCCACCTCAATGGGGCGAGATTTCTCTTTCTCTGCCTAACTGGGATGACTAAAGGGTTCACATTTAACTTGTAAGTTATCACAGTTGGGTCTATATTGGACATTTCTACTGCCAATGATGCAAAAGCATCTAAATTATTAAGCAAAAAACTTACCAGTGTAGGATTGTATCCTCCATCGGTGTAGCTCGCTCATCGATGTGCTCGGGGGGCGGCTCTAGCTCGACGTCATTTGCTAGCTTTGCTTTTCCCTTCGACGTCGTGGCGTAGCACTTCTGGGATTCTAACTGGTCGTTCCGTACGACCCCTACTCCATACCTCGTCGAAAATTTCATCGATAGGTAGTAGGTCAACACCACCGCACGAAGTGCATGTAGGATGGGCCGACCTAAAATAGCATTATAGGGGGACGGGGTGGCAATCACTAAGAATGTGTGCTCGAAGTCTGCTGAACTTCTTGAGTTGACCAGAATTCGCTTTACCTCGAAGTAATTTATTATCATTTTGACAACGTGGGCGTCGTCGTGCGGATATTGGATCTTGCGAGCATCGTCCCTAGTGAAGTAGATAACTTCCTCCACCCAAGGGTGCTTCAGTGGGTTCTCGTCTTCTTGCTCAAGCTCCCGGACTGCGTTCTTCCTTACCGCTGTGTTGCACCCTGCTACTATCGAACCTCCGGTGATCATGTTGATCACCCCATGGATCGGTCTCTCCAGTGCTAGTGGATCCCGAGGTGGCTGGTCACGGTCCTGTCGCTTGCTTGATTCTGGTGCTTCTCTATGTTGTTCAGCAGGTCGGACGTCTCTATTGTTACGCTTGATGATTTGCCTAAGGTAGCCGCGATGGATTAGCTTCTCGATTTTGTCCTTTAGGTTCTAGCAGCTTTTTGTGTCATGGCCGATGTCATGGTGGAAGTGATAGTATCTATTCGGGTTTCTATTGGCAGGGTCTCCTCTCATCCTGGGCGGCCACTTGATGTACTCAGCCGTCTTTATTTGCATCAAAATTTTGCCCCTTTTTGCATTCAGGGCGGTGTAACAGCGATTCTGGACTAGTGGGGTTCTAGATTGTTGGCCTGATCTGGAAACCTGACGTGGTGATCTGCTTTTCCTGGAAGATCTTCTCTGTCTACCGCGGGGAGGCCGACTTCTCTTTGACAACTTACTTCTTCGATGCTGCTGCTTACTGCTCCTTGCTTCTTCTTATGGTCTTTTCCTCTTCCCAACTAACTGTAGCTCTAATCGGGATCCGAAGGCCTCCTCCGCCTTCGTGAACTTTTCCGCTCTAGTGAGGAACATCTCCGTGGAGGTTGGAGGGTTCAACTCGACCTGCCAGCGTAAGTCCAGGTGGAAGATGCCCTTCACTGCTGCAGTGAGCTGTATGGCCGGGTTGAGGTTTGGAATCTGGAGCCGCTCCAAGTTGAACTTCTTGATGTAGTCGTGGAGTGGCTCGTCAGGTTGTTGGACGATGTTCAAGAGGCTGGTTGCGGACTTCGGGCACCTCTTGCTTGTGGTGAAGTGTGTGGTGAACAATTTTGTGAATTGGTTCCAATTTTTTATTAAACCAGGAGGTAGTCCCGGGTACCACAATCGAGTTGTACCTCGGAACGTTGTCGAGAATGCCATGCAAAGACATGCATCATTTGCTCCATGGAGGTGCATCAGTGATTGGAAATTGTCGCTGCGGTCAATTGGATCAGTTGTCCCATCTTATGTTTCCAGGTTTGGAGCTTTGAAGTTTTTGGGCCGTAGGGCTGTAAGAACTTATGGTGCTAAGGGTGAGGGCCGGGTTACACGTAATGTTTCTGGTTGTGCAACGACCGAGCTGACTTCTCCCTTCTTCTCCTTCTCTGCTTTTGTGGTGTTGGTGGGAGCGGCGCTACTCTTTCCGGTGCTGTGACGTGCGCGTCTGTGGTGTTTCTTCTTTGATACCTCAGTAGTGTTGTTTGCTTTTGTATTTGTCGGTGCCATGGCTCTGGTATTCTCCTCGACTGGGACCTGGTTCCGGTTGTCGGGATGACAAGGTGCGCCCGGAACTTGGTCCTGGTTTCTAACGCCGAGTTGTTGATCGTCCTACTAGCAGCTATTTTGCTACTAGTCCTACTACTGGTTCACGTTTGGCTGGGGTGGCAGTGGATGCTGGGGCTACTGTTGCGGCTGCTACTGTGGCGGTATGAAGGCGTCGAACTTCTCCTCCCACGCTTGCACCTGCAAGTTCATACTATGGATGTACTGCACTAGCTCGTAGAATTTCCACACATCGATCCCTACGGGAACTGCAAATGGCTCAATCGCGGGGAGAGGGGCGTTCAACTGGTGCATCGGGAAAGGTTGGTCTGACGTGCTGGCACTCCAGGTAGTGTCAAAGGTACTATCATCTTCCTGATGGTCACTGAGGGCACTTTTGGTTGGACAATAGGTTGTTCTTGCCCCCGATGACTTGCATGTTGTTGTTGTTGACATTGACGGGCTGGTTGTTGCTTGAAGAAGCAATTGAAGTAGTAAGTAGAAAAAAGAGTGAGGGTGGGAACTAGGCTTTTTGTCGTTTCTTCCCACAGACGTCGCCAATTGATGGTGCGCGATCTAGTCCTTCTCTGCTGGATGGTAGCTCGGACATCGGTATGCTTACGTGGCTAGTTGAATTGCAAGAAAACACGATCAGAGGACCCAGGGTGTTTTACCCAGTGTGGGCACTCCCATGCTTAAGTTAGCAAAGAGTGTAGTTGCGAGCTTGAGAGCTTTTGAGTAAGAGAGCTAGAGAGATAAATCGTGCGTACCTTGTAAGCTTGGAGGTGATGCCGTAGGCCTCACGAAACATATTTGAGATCCCCAACCCGCATTACCTAGAGTTTGTTTCACTCCCGGAGATGGATTTCGTGTGAGATGATCGAGTCTATCCGATCCGAGCGGGATAAGGATAAGGCTCGTTGACGTGCGATGTGATCCCGGAAAGGTCGGAGACAGATAGCTAGCTTGTAGAAGTGGGCTATGTGGCACCTCGGTAGGTCGGGACACCATGAGATGCTCGGACCTCGGTCTTAGCCGAGGTACCCGAGATACCTGAGCTGACCTAGCCAGCCGAGGTATTGAAAAGTGCTGAATTGTTTCCAGTATCAGCTCATTCCACATGTCCACAGGCTAATAGGTCAGGCCAAATTACCCCTTATTAGTTTCTAATCTTGGTTTGATTGGATTGGATTGGATTTTTAGGCTGTTGTATAATCTTGTTTGGAAGATAGACAAACAATTGTTATACATTGATTCATTGCATGAACACTTTGAATGCAGATATTTGTATTGGATAAGTGTTCATTAGATTCATTGGATTTCTAGGCTATTGTATACAATGATTCAACCAAAGCAACCGGGATACTCTGAATACAAATATATGCATTTGGTAAGTGTTCATTCTACTTTGAATATTGAATACTGGCATATTTTAAGAGTACAAGTTAAATGGATTATTTGAATTCGAGTTTCTCCCCTTTTGACTGCTGTTGTTTCTGATAAATAATCATTATATGAGTTTATTAAGACAAATAATTATTATATTATTGTCTTAAGACTCCTCAATTTGTTATGTAACTTAGGTGGATTTTATAGAGTAGCTAAGGTCACCTAGATAGTCACAACCATATTCATAAGGAGGGACATAGACATCAATGTCTATATTCAAAGTGTTTTAGTTACTTTAGTTGAGTTGGTACAGAAGAAAACCAGTATATTAGGTTTTGGGGGAAGGAAGAAAGGATTAGGAATAGATAAAAAATGAAAATAGGATGGAAAGATATAAATGTAGGACTCTTTGGCTATACAAATTAAAAGATAAACAATAAATCTATTAACCTAACGATGGGCTCTGTTAAGTAAACCACATGTGCAAAGAAGACCACCACATGTGCAAAGAATTGGTGGCGATCGGTGATGGGTCTACAGAAAATTTAGTCATTACCCGTAAAATCTACAACAGCTTTGGGTTCGTTATAAGGTAGGAATGCGTGTATGCATGTCGACCTCATAGAGACCTGCTGGGTCTTCACCGCCCTAAATGACTAAAAACAACCAGTTCTCAAAACAAATAAATTAAACCATGTAGAAATTCATAAGAATTAATGACAGCATGTTTCACAAGAAACATTTGTCTGGATATTAGCTTCTGGAACAAAGCAAACAAGTCCATCTCGATCTTTTTCTTTTTGAAAATATTTTACATATATAGGTAGAACCGTGATAAACGTTTGATGGCGACGGAAAACCCTTAATTTTCAATTTTTCTTTGTCATTTTAAGAACAATAGTATATGACTAAAATTATTACAGCACCAAGGTGAATAATTTCGGAATATTAATGGTGCTACAGAAACTGTTTCTTCACTGTCTCTTTCGTGAATAAGTTGTCATCCTTAGATCTGCAGAGAAGCAGGTAACAATGAGATAGTTCATGATGGAACTGGAGGAACCTTAATTTGTCTGGTTTCTCTCACAAGTATCGGGTTGTCGTGACTCGTGAAAACCTTCGAATGGTCTTTTTGATCTACTTTAATTTTGAGTCTGCAACTGAAACACTAGACAGAAAGAAATTAACTTCTTACTGACAGTGAAATCATAAATAAGCATTTGAGGTTTAACCTAATTATTGATTTATTTGTGTCAATAAATCACATCATGGGTCATATCGAAATCATTATACATATCACGCATAGAAACAAAATCAAAGAAACCATTCTCAGGGATCTGATTATTCTCCGCTTCAATTTGTATGGGAAACTTGCCGTAAGTGGTGCCGATATTGCTTAAACCATTATGGAAATCACTAGCAAATTCGGCCTCATCACGTAACAAATTATGTCTGAATAACGAATCCTCGACGTTCGAGTCATCCGAAATTAAACTGGGAACAACCATGGTTTCGCCGGAACTTACCACGTTCTGGTCATTGATTTGATCCATTGAAAGCCAGTCGGCGAACAAAAGCTTGGGAAGGGAACTCTGCAGTGTTGCTTTATGCGGCTGATTATCAACAACGATTTGTGTAACAGACTGGTCGGTATCAATGGTAGATTCTCCCGTCTGTTCCAAAGATTCGAAACTCGAAACTTGGATATTAGAATTTAGTGTCGGTGCGGATTCTCTGACTTTTGGAGTTGAATTGAGGAACTGCGCGTTGATATGAGCTTCTAAAGCTTCAATCTTCATAGCTTTCTTCTTCAAGTAAGAATTCCAGTGGTTCTTTATCTCATTATCAGTTCTTCCGGGCAAATTCTGTGCAATTTGTGACCACCTGATCAAAGGTTAATTAATAGCTACCCATTAGCATATCTGATGATGATTATTGTAAGTCAATTTTACTGATTTTAATGCAGTTTTAAGTAGTGGTGAACGTGAACCCATCCAGATTGCTTACTTGTTGCCCAACTGGCGATGGAGGTACAAGATCGTTTCCTCTTCTTCAATCGTGAAGACGCCGCGCTTCAAACCAGGCCTCAGATAATTAATCCACCGTAATCTGCAGCTCTTTCCGTTCCGTTGCAAACCTAATTAATGCAATCAATGCGACAACAAGGTGATTAGTGTTGTTAAACTTGAGGATATTTTAGTCATCTTATTATAATATTGACATCATCTAATCTACTTCTAATCATCTCTCTGCACTGTGTAACCAAGGGATTTATATCGTTTATTCTGTAGGTGAAGCAGCTTTCCAAGAAGAATAAGATTGATTCTAATTAACGTGCGTCGGGCGGCCGGCCGGTAGCCTAAGCTTCGGGAAGGAGAAGGGAGCCAGGGAGCAGGGAGCAGGGACAGCCCCAAGGTCCAAACAATCTCTTGATGGAGATGGACGAACAATGCGCCATGCAAACTCACCGGCTTTAATGGGGACGGTGCTCCAACAGTCATGACCGTGTTGGAGGACGTAACTCCTTAGCCTCTGGTCTTCCTCCGGCGACCACAACCCTTTCCTGTACTTCGGCTTCGGCTTATCGCAAGACTTGCACCCCATTTGCTCCGCTACTGATCTGTTGGTTCTCTCTGGTTCTTTTTGGTTCTCTGATGATACAGTGATCGAGAAGAGGTAGCAGGGATCGATTTGGGAGAGAGATTTGTTGTCTGAGGCTCCTTCCTCTCAACTCTAACATATATTATATATACAAAAGATGCTACCGCAAAGAATGATTATATTATCCGACAAGAGAGTAGTTTTGAATTAAATATAAAAGGGGGATTCTTCTCTAGAAAAATCAAAAGAGAGATTAGTTGTACCTTGTTGGCTTTATTTTATCAATTCCGCATTAAAAATGGACATAATCATACAAATAATGGATAAACAAATGAGAATGGGAGGAACAGTGAAAATTCTATGCACCAGAGGCGAGACCAACATATCCTCCCGTCGACTTTTGGATGCTGATATCAATATTCATCAACCAAATAATCCAGTACTCTCTGGGGGAGGGGGTGCCTTTAGTAACACTAGTCTTTTAATTTGTAGCTTTGAGCTAATTTCATGTGTTTTCCCCTGTTTCAACTTTTTAATACTTATTGGCTTCACGTATAAAAAGTTAAATTAGAATATTTTTATAATTATAACCATATAATGTCAATGCTTGGCAAATAGTAACTTAATTATCTAACATTTCAATCTTCAAATCTAGTCACAAAATTAAGGCATTTTAAAGGATACAGTAAAAAAATTTCAAAACCTAAGCATATTCTCATCTTTTTACCCTTCTATAAAAAAATGGTAATAATTAATAGTGCTAATGGATTCGTTTTTTCTCTTTTGGAAAATGAAAAAAGAAAAAAAAAGTATCAATTTTGGGGTTGAGTTCAAGCCTTCAATCATGGTTTTCAAAACCGGACTGGACCGGATGGCCGGACTGGAAAAACCGGGAATCGTTCATTTAACCGGACGGTCAGACTGGAAAAATCGGAAACCGATCACCCATTTTTCCCAAAACTGTTGATTTTGATCAATAAACCACTGAACCAGCCGATTAACCGTTCAAACAGTTTTGACCGTTTTTCAAATTATTTGTTTATTTTTAGTTTTTTGTCAGAACGGGACAATCATTCTAGTTGAGCGATCGGACCATTTGAACCAAAAACCGGACCCCTGACTGGTCAGTCACCGATTCGGTTTTAAAAACCATACCTTCAATAATTATATATATACCTACCTAACTAGATAATACATCAAATTCAAATATTTCTTCCTGGGTTAAACTTAATTATATCCACCCGCTTAATTTATATCCAGGTAGCATAATTAGCACTCCAATTAATTGGACATTGTCTAACTCTAATCCAAACATGAGATATAAATGGCGTCAACTGCCCTACTGAATGGGTGTCTAGCTAATGTTGAGTTAAGCATCCTAAACATCATCATAGTTCATGAGAATCAATGTAATACACGGGCATCATTATGATCATTATATCAAATTATAAAATTGAATAAATTCAGCACAGTTACAGACGCACAATAAGAAATTAAGAGGAGAGGAGACATGATAGTGTCCATTGTCCAATACCAATAGAATAGATGGGAGTCCTGTGTTAATTAGAATGGGTCAATGCAACGATTGCATCAGTTAGAGATGGACTTGTCTCGATCGCTAGATAGCCAAGTCTCGTCATCCAATAGAGTGATAGTCAATGATACAATCGGTAGTTTGATGTATCTTCTATGGTCGGTCATACTTGCATCTAGACCCTGCTGTTATGGGCCCGAGCATAGGATCGCATCATGGGTCGCTCCACCGCAGGAACCTCAGATCTTTCCTTGTCCTTTGTCTTGCGTACAGGCTCTATTTTGACTATCTCAGGGGTGATTTGTCCAAGAGATCACCGAACTCTCCTTTACTCTCTTTCTTGACTGAATATTCGATATCCTCATTCAATAATAGCGTCTCCTTAAATAGGAGATTACAAGAGGAGGGTTCCATATTGGATTCGGCTAGGTTAGTCCTAAACGGACTCAAAACTCCTACTTCTAATTA